GTTCGTGGGTCCATCATGTTTTTTCCCCCCCCCTTTCCCTTCTTCATTACTTGTTGAGGATGTCTCGAGCGAAACGCTGGTTTTGCAAAATTTGGGGATGTCTCGAGCGGGGGCTTCGTGGGGGGCCAGAATCAGAGGATGTCTCAGGCGAAATGTTTGTTTTCGTGTCCCGCTCGCAGGAATTCCAAGGATATCTCGCGCGTGCCGCGTCCCGCGCGCAGGAATTTTCAGGATGTCCCGTAGCGCGTCCCCTTGGCACGTCCTACGGTGCGACCCCATGGCACGTCCTTTGGCACGTCGCCTGGCGCGTCCCTTGGGGCGTTTCGCGGCGCGTCCCCCTGTCAATTAGCTCTGGGGCAGCAGCTATGTGTTCAGGCAGCTCGAGCTTCAGATCCAGATCAGTTCGGTCAGGACTCGGATTCAAAGGAAGACTCGATCCACGGCGCTATAGAGCACAACCGCGGCATGGCACATCGCAGTTCAGCACGGCGCAGCACAGCACAGCCCTCGGCACGGTACATCAAGATCGATACAATCAGCATTGCACTTGCCCGTCGCCCAATCCGGTGTCTTTGAAAACGTTGCCACGCGTTACATTTCAATATTATTTTCCAGGTTCGTGGGTCGATCATGTTCGCGTGCCCGCTCGAGGAAAGTTCGCCTGCTCGAGGCAGCGGCACCTTTTTTTCTGAGTTCGGCGGCGGGGGCGTTTCCGCCGTCCCCCAGGGCGCCTGGGTCAGGGGCGATCGCCCGCAGGCGGGCCTGGGTTTCAAGCTGTCTCTCGGGGTGCAGTTTTGGGGGATGCCAGCCCGTCGATTTTGGATCCTTCGGGGGCCGTTCGCTGTAAAACAACAGTTCGCGTGGCGAGGGCGACAATAGTCTTAAGTCGGGCGTGTCCCCCTACAGGAGGAAAATTCAATAATGATCCAACAATAGTCTGTGATGTTCTGGCTATTTTTCCCGGAAAGGGCGGGGGCCCAGGGTTCTCTTTTAGTAGGTAAACCTGTCCCCCGGTGCCAACTTGAAGGAGGCCGGCGAATTTTTTCCCTGATAAATATCGAGGTCGAAGGAGGCCGGCGAATTAAAATTTGAGGATGTCTCGGGCGAAACGCTTGTTTTTGAAATCCCGATCGATAAATCACAGGGTGCGGGCCACTTTTTCGTGTGTTGAGGATGTCTCGAGCGAAACGCTTGCTCCGCAGAGTTTGCCGAGGATGTCTCGAGCGAAACGCTTGTTTTGCAGAGCCGACCGCGACGCGGAAAAGCGCCCCGCGCGAAGGAATTTCGATGATGTCTCGACTAATTCGTTTGTTTTGTACGATTTCCTGGAATTTTGGCAGGATGTCTCGAGCGAAAGCACGACCCCACCCTAGCACGACCATACCCCAGCACGACAAGCACGACCACCCCCAGCACGACCACGCCCCAGCACGACCACCCCCAGCACGACCACCCCCCAGCACGACCACACCCCAGCACGACCACACCCCAGCACGACCTCACCACAGCACGACCACACCCCAGCACGACCACTCCCCAGCACGACCACGCCCCAGCACGACCACGCCCCACGACCACGCCCCCCACACGCACGACCACACCCCAGCACGACCACCCTAGCACGACCATACCCCAGCACGACCACACCCCAGCACGACCAGACCCCAGCACGACCCCACCCCAGCACGACCCCACCCAAGCACGACCATACCCCAGCACGACCACACCCCAGCACGACCCGACCCCAGCACGACCCTACCCCAGCAAGACCACACCCCAGCACGACCACACCCCAGCACGACCTCACCACAGCACGACCACACCCCAGCACGACCACGCCCCAGCACGACCACGCCCCAGCACGACCACGCCCCAGCACGACCACCCCCAGCACGACCACCCCCCCAGCACGACCACCCCCCAGCACGACCACCCCCCAGCACGACCACACCCCAGCACGACCACTCCCCAGCACGACCACACCGCCTTGGTTGAGTGGTTGCCTGTCGTCGTGGAATGTTTCGTGGGGTGTCTCGTGGAATGTTTCGCGGGGTGTCTCGTGGAATGTTTCGTGAGGTGTCTCGTGGAATGTTTCGTGAGGTGTCTCGTGGGATGTTTCGTGAAGTGTCTCGTGGGATGTTTCGTGAGGTGTTGCCCAGTTGGGTATCGTGAAAACGTGTCCATGCTCCACATGTCTAAATCCCTTTCCGGGTTCGTGGGTCCATCATGTTGAATATTTGTTGAGCATGTTTAACAACATTTGTTCACAACTATTTTTCATTTTTCGTTCAAAATCTGCCCGTAGGGGGAAATGGCCGGTCTAACAATAGCCAGAGGAGGAAAGGGGACCCGTACCGCCATCCTTCCTTCGGCTGCTCCTTCTCGGGCCTCCCGAGAGGCCCCTCGTCGCCACCGCTGGATGTTCGCACCGAAATTCTGGTCAGAACGCACCCCGGGAGAGGTCCCGGGAGTAGCGGTATCGGTACCTCTTGGTTATCTCAAGTAGTGTGGGCAAGGGGAGTTCGACAGGTTCCCCTTCTCCTCTTCCGTTGTCCTCCTGCCTCCTGTCGCAAGCGCATTGTCGATCTGTGGTTCAGATGGCAGTTTCTTTGCATGAGTTTGCCTATTGCATGTCGGTTTCCGCGTTGTTCCTGATTTGCCTGGCGACTTTTTGATTCGCGATGTGGCTGTGCCACCCGTGGTGTGTTGCGTGGAAGGAAGCATGGGCCGTTCGAGTCCGCACCGCGGACCCCCACAGCTGCCATGCACCCAGGGTTAAATCGGGCACGTCCCTCCACAGGAGGAATTTTCGAGGATAGTGAAACAATTGTAGGGGACATATGTTTCGAATATTCTTGACACTGTTTGCATATTGTTTGACTACTTTTGATTTTTCGTCCAAAGCCCGCCTGTAGGGGGACCCGACCTAAACACAGGGACAGGGGACTGGGTAGGGCCGTCGGCTTCTGGTTCTGGCTTCGATGCAGGCTGGAGCCGAGCAGGGCCTATTTTTTGTCCTAGCGTGGTTGAGGGGAAGAGATGCGCACACATCCGGTAACAACGGTGGTGACGAGGCCGATGATTTTGATGCTACTGTTGGTGGCTTGATGCGCGGCGATAGCGCAAGCCTCAGGATGCAGCGTCCGCCGCCCTCCGCCTCTGCCTCCTTCCCCTGGACGTCGGCACGCGCGTGGGTAGACTAGCACAGCGAAGCCTGTCTGCCTGCCTGCTTCCACGTCCGTCGTCGAGTCGGCCTGCCTGTCGGTCTAGCAGTCTGCCCTGGAAAATGAGGTGGAAATCAGGCCATTGATGAAATGTTCAGTTTGCTCACGGGCCATGCTTCTAACCATTCCTGCGTTTCATTGACATCCCGTCGTTGTGTGCAGTGGCACCCTCCGCAGGAGGGCGATACTACGGGTGAGGCCAAGTGAGCGTGCGGCCTCTTGCGCGTCCAGAGCTGTTGGGGCATTTTGCTGCATGCGCCCGCTGCTGTGAGCTGCGTGATTGGCCCAAGGCCTCCCCCCTCCCCCCTCCTCTGCGCCAGCGTGCCAGGCCGCTCCTCCTCAGTGGCTCCCCGTTGTGGGCGCAGGGCGGGAAAGGGGGAGACGGACGGGGGAGAGGCGGCGGGCGGGGGGCAGAGCAGGGGGATGGGGGATGCGGGCGAGGATGGCGAGGGGGAGGAGGCGGGGCTGAGGAGGAGGGGGAGGCGGGGAAGTAGGAGGGGGAGGCGGGAGGAGGCAGGCCTGAGAGGGATGGAGCGAAGGTCACGGGGGTGGAGGGGAGTATGGGGGAGGTGAGAGGAGGGGGAGGAGCGGTGTAGTGGAACATGTTGAGGGAGGGGGGGCAGGATGGCCGCAGCGGAGCACATCCCGGGCTTCGCCACCTGCCTGGGGCCGTCCCTGAAACAGACAGACAGTCCTTGCAGCGATCAGCGGCTCGGCTGCCTCAGCCTCTTCTTTCCGCCGTCTCCTCCTCGTCTGGTCTCATCCTGCTGCTGGTGCTGCTGCTGCTCCTCATGCTCCTTTGCCCTCCCGAGTTAGCTCTTCGCTGCTGTCCGGTATGGTGGTCACCTGGGACCGCGGTTGGCTGTCGCTGAGGGCGCATGCTGTGGCGGACCGCGCGTTGGACAAAAACATGGGAGGGGGAGAAAGGAGAGGGAGGGGAATGATACCTGGGGGAGAGATGGGAGGGAACCCCATGAAATGCAGAAGCATTGCAGCGATCTTGCTCTATGCGCTTATGATTGTAAGGTGGACCTGAGGCAAAGGGTTGAGCCGATGGTGGTTTTCATAAGGTTCCAGAAAAGTTCCAAGTTCCGGAACATTTTTCCCGGAAGGGGCTGGGGCCTAGGGTTATCTTGTAGTGAGTTTTACCCCGGGGGTGACTTGAAAAGGGTCGGTGGAATTATTTGCTATTGAATTTGGGTCGGATTTTGTTTTGACAAAATGCGTTTCGCGCGTGCCCGCTCGAGGAAAACGTGCCCGCTATCTCGGATCCTTGATCAATAACAGGGTGCGGAGCGTTTCGCGGAGCGGAGCGTTTGCGCAGAATCAGCGATACATCGCGAGATGTGGAGACCCTAGAAGTCTAAAGATATTTTGGAAAAGTTGACATTCTTGGTGCCCGCTCGAGGATGGCGCGTCCCGCGCGCAGGACTTTCGATGAGCGGAAGTATTAGCTATAAATATCGAGGTGCATTTTCCCAGAAAGGGCGCGGGCCCAGGGTTCGCTTTTTAGTTTTGTAAACTATCCCTGATGCCATGACTGAGGTGGGCCGGCGGATTCTTTTCCTGAGAATGATCGAGGTCGAGGTGGGCCGGCGGACTAACATTTGAGGATGTCTCGAGCGAAACGCTTGTTCCTCAGAATTTCTTGAGGATGTCTCGAGCGAAACGCAGGTTTTGCAGAGGTGGGGGATGTCTCGAGCGGGGGCCTCGTGGGGGGCCAGAATTCAAAGGATGTCTCAGGCGAAATGCTTGTTTTCACATGCCCAGGTCGGCCAGGGGGGTACCCAACATGGTTGTCCGTCGCTGGCGCCTCAGACGACCGCATGTTGGATATCCCCCCTGGGTGGGCTGGAACCGTGAGTTTCTAAGTGTGCAGGCCATCATGGGGGTATTTAACATGGTGGTCGAGAGCTGGAATCACGTGTTTTCACGTGTCCAGCCCACACAGGGGTACATCGAACATGGTGGTCCCGAGCTGGAACCACGTGTTTTTACATGTTCAGGCCACCCAGGAGGGGTAAGTAACATGGTGGTCCTGCGCTGGAAACGTGTGTTTTCAAGTGTCCAGGCCACCCAGGGGGGGTATCTAACATAGTGGTTCTGTGTCCAGGCCATCCAGGGAGGTATCTAACATGATTGCCCTGAACTGGAACCACGTGTTTTTACATGTCCAGGCCACCCAATGGGGATATCCAACATGGCGTCGGGCCCAACGCCGAATTACGTGGAAACGCACGGGGGGCCGAAAAGCGCTACCCGAACACATATCCCAGTGATGTTCCCGGAAAGGGCTTAAGCCCAGGGTTCTCTTTTAGCCGTTTACCCCCGGAATCGACGGGAAGAGGGCCGGCGGAATTATTCTGCGATAAATTACGTGCGGGAAGAGGGCCGGCGGAAGTATTTTTGAGGATGTCTCGAGCGAAACGCTTGTTTTTCAGAATTTGTTGAGGATGTCTCGAGCGAAACGCTGGTTTTGCAGAGTTGGGGATGTCTCGAGCGAAACATTGTTTTCAGAATTTGTTGAGGATGTCTCGAGCGAAAACGCTGGTTTTGCAGAGCCGACCGCGACACGGAAAAGCGCCCCGCGTAGGAATTCCGAGGATGTCTCGCGCGTGCCGCGTCCCGCGCGCAGGAATTTCGAGGATGTCTCGACTCATTCGTTTGTTTTTCTAGGATTTCCTTGGCCACACTGGTGGGTATCTAACATGTTCTGCCCGAGCTGGCACCACGTCGCTTCACGTGTCCAGGGCACCCAGGTGGGTATCTAACATGGTGGTCCCGAGCTGGAGCCGCGTGTTTTCACGTGTACAGGCCACCCAGGTGGGTATCTAACATGTTGGTCCCGAGCTGCAACCACGTGCTTCACCTGTCGAGGCCACCCAGGGGTGTCTAAGATGGTGGTCCCGAGCTGGAACCACGTGTTTTCACGTGCCCAGGTCGCCCAGAGGGTGTATCTAACATGGTGGCCCCGCGCTGGAACCGCGTGTTTTCATGTGTCCACGCCACCCAGGGGGGTATCTAACATGGTGGTCCTGAGCTGGAACCATGTGTCCAAGCCACCCATGAGGTATCTAACATGGCGGTCCCGAGCTGAAACCACGTGTTTTCACGTGTCCAGGCCACCAAGGGGTATCTAACATGGTGGTCCCGCGCTGGAACCACGTGTTTTCACGTGTGCAGGCCACCCAGGTGAGTATCTACATGGTGGTCCCGAGCTGGAACCGCGTGTTTTCACGTGTCCACGCCACCCAGGGGGTATCTAACATGGTGGTCCCGAGCTGGAACCACGTGTTTTCACGTGTCCAGGCCACTCAGGGGGTATCTAACATGGGCCTCCTGGATCCTTCCTGGGACTCGGAACGGAACGTCGAGAGTTTATTTGTATTTGGTATCGATTCGTTTACTTTTTGGCCTCCAGGCGCCTCTGGGCGTTCCTGGGCCCTCCTGTGCTCCAGACGACCGCATGTTAGATACCCCCCCTGGGTGGGCTGGATCACGTGTTTTTACGTGTGCAGGCCACCCAGGGGGGTATCTAACATGGTGGTCCCGAGCTGGAACCATATGTTTTTACGTGTCCAGGCCACCCAGGGGGATATCTAACATGGTTGTCCCGAGTTTGAAGCACGTGTTTTTGCATATCCAGGCCACCCAGAGGGGGTATCTAACATGATTGTTCTGAGCAAGGGCCATGTGTTGTAACGAGTCCAGGCTATTCAGGGGTGTACATAGCATGGTTTCCCGAGCTGGCACCATGTGTTATTATGTGTCTAGGCCATCCAGGGGATATCTAACATGGTTGCTCCGAGCAAGGACCACGCATTTTAAGGTTCCGTAGCGCGTCCCCTCGGCACGTCCCGCGGTGCGTCCCCGTGTCACGTCCCCTGGCACGTCGCCTGGCGCGTCCCTCGGGACGTTCCGCGGCGCGTCCTCCTGGCATGTTCCCCTGTCAAGTAGCTCTGGGGCAGCTTCAATGTGCTGAGGCAGCTCGAGCTTCAGATCCAGATCAGTTCGGTCAGGACTCGGATGCAAAGGAGGACTCGATCCACAACGCTATAGAGCACAATCGCGGCATGGCACATGGCAGTTTAGCACAGCGCAGCACAGCACAGCCCTCGGCACGGTACCTCAAGATCGATACACTCAGCATTGCAATCTGGCACGTTCCGTGGCGCGTCCCGTGGCGAGTCCCCCTGGCACGTCGCGCGGCGCGTCCTTTGGCACGTCCTGTGGCACGTCCCGTGGCACGTCCATTGGCACGTTTCGTAGCGCGTCCCCTCGGCATGTCCCGCGGTGCGTCTTCGTGGCACGTCCCTTGGCACGTCGCCTGGCGCGCCCCTTGGGACGTTCCACGCCGCGTCCTCCTGGCATGTTCCCCTGTCAATTAGCTTTGGGGCAGCTACTACGTGCTGAGACAGCTCGAGCTTAAGATCCAGATCAGTTCGGTCAGGACTCGGATGCAAAGGAGGACTCAATCCACAACGCTATAGAGCACAATCGCGGCATGGCGCATGGCAGTTTAGCACAGCGCAGCACAGCACAGCCCTCGGCACGGTACCTCAAGATCAATACGTTCAGCATTGCGTTTGCCCGTCGCCCAATAAGGTGTCTTCCAAACGTTGCCATGCCTTACATGTCTATATTCCTTTCCGGGTTCGTGGGTCGATCATGTTTTTTCCCGGAAAGGGCGTGGGCCCAGGGTTTTCTTTTAGTGGGTTTACCCCCGGTTTCGACTTGGAGGGGGCCGGCGGAATTCGTCTCTATGAAAAATCGAGGTGAAGTCAAATTCGGCGTGACAAAACAAAACATGCGTTTCGCGCGTGCCCGCTCGAGGAAAGTCGACCCCCCTATCTCGGATCCTCGATGAATAACGGGGTCCGCGGGCCTCCGATTTCTTTGTAAAAAGAGGGTGCGGGGCACTCTTAGCAGAATCTTTAAAACCAAAATTTGGAGCCCCGACCGCGACGCGGAAAAGCGCCCCGCGCGCAGGAATTCCGAGGATGTCTCGCGCGCAGGAATTTCGAGGATGTCTCGACTAATTCGCTTGTTGTTCCACGATGTCCTTGGATTTTGCCAGGATGTCTCGAGCGAAACGCCTGTTTTTCATAATTTGTTGAGGATGTCTCGAGCGAAACACTGGTTTTGCAAAATCGGGGGATGTCTCGAGCGGGGGCCTCGAGGGGGGCCAGAATTCGAAGGATATCTCAGGCGAAATGGTTGTCTTCACGTCACGCTCGTAGGAATTCTGAGGATGTCTCGCACGTGCCGCGTCCCGCGCGTAGGAATTCTGAGGATGTCTCAACTAATTCGTTTATGTTTCCAGGATGTCCTTGGATTTTGCTAGGATGCCTCGAGCGA